GGGGGGGGGGGGGGGGGGGGGGGGGGGGGGGGGGGGGGGAGGGGGGGTACCTCACGAGCCTAGCGGGGATTACATTGAGAGCAACGACAATCGGGAAAAGAGATGAGAGAAGACTGACACCGTGCTTTGCCTGTGTAACCATCTGAAGCCGATGCCACGCTGCCTCAGCATGACACGGTATGTGCCCTAACAGCGCCTTCGGCGAGCCTACGGAAGCAAGAAATAACCCCTCCCGTCCAAAACCATAGCAAAGCAACGACAGCCGCACCCACCACCGTCGTCAACCTCAAACCAACCGACTGACGAAAAACAGAACGAAGTTCCCCACGAGTACACCATAAATATATTTTTGTAGATAGAACTTTAGTAGCCGAAACAGCAATCTTAGAGAACGCCGTGCGGTGTGTGTGTTTCTCACATGATGATCCTGGAAGGGTCTCGCACGCGGAGCCACTTGGACATGGCGTAGTGCGCCGGCCCCAGGCCGGCCTCGTTCCCAAGAGACCACGAGATGATGCTAGGGTGGTTCTTGTCGCGCTCCACCATGCCCTGCGAGGCATTTCAAGGCGATGTAGGAGGCGTTTTTAGACGAACTGTGCGCGCTTGGGGGGGGAAGGGGGGAGGGGGGAGGGTACTCATGTTTTGCATGCGTTAGTTGTCAGACCATAGGACCACACGTCGGGAGGAGGGGGAGGGGTAGGATGAGCACTACCACAAGTTGTGAGGACGGCAGTTCTTTGTTGTGACACGAGCCACAACACATGCGTCAAATCGATCCCTCAACAGTGTGTGTACTGTACCTTAAGACGCTCGATGTGGGCCTCTTGCCAATCGGGATCTCTGGTCAGCCTGGAAGGCGTCGGCTCCATCCCATGGGTCTCGATGTTCGCTTCGTCCACGACGTAAAGCCCCAGACGGTCACAGACCTACCTCAACGCGCGGTCGCGGGTAAATGGGTACTCATGTTTCGCATGCCTTAGCTGTTAAACCGTTGGCCACGCGTCCTCGAGAGGACGGAGCATTGTTCTGTGGGTAACGAGAACAGTTTTCTGTCACTTTTTGTGAATAAAAAACAATTAAAAAAATCACCTCGTAGAAAAACGGGTGGTTCGGGTAGTGGCTCGTCCTCACTGCGTTGAAGTTGTGGCGCTTCATCACCAGAGCGTCTCGGACCATGGACTCCAGCGGGACGACCTTGCCCCCCGAGTCGTCGTGCTCGTGCCGGTTGGCGCCCGCCACCGTGATCGCTCGGCCGTTCACCCGCAGCTGTCCCCCGGAGATCTCGATCTTTCTCGAAACGGTACGGGATGGGACGGTATGCACGAAAACACGAACGAGGAAATTCATGTGTTGAAATGGATGTCGGTCCCAAACCGTAATATAAACACCACAACATATATATGGTTACGGTACGGTATACACGGAACGGGCGAGGAAACTGATGCGTTGAACATGTCAGGCCTTCACCGTTTCATACCATGCGTTAGTAGAAGACACAGCAGTGCCAGTCCAGCGCGCAAGCGTGGAACGTGCAGATCAGCAACAACAACAACAACGGCAACGACAACGACAACGACAACAACAACAACAACATCTAACGATCCCCCCCCCCCCCCCCCCC